CCATGTGGATCCCAAGTGTGTACTTTGCCCCCTAATTCAAGGGCAGCGGGTAAAGGGAGAAGTGACTGCAGTGGGGCATCTTGACTGCCATGAGATGCCCCTGAGAGGAAAACAAGGGAAATTTGCACAAGAAAAAAAGAGCAAGATTTACCATTCTCATACAAAGTAACCATGACAAAATATGAAAGCTCAAACTGGACTCTACTCAGGCATCCTGTGCTGAAATATATGCTCTGGGTTGCCTGCAGGAATAAACTGTACCTTTTTATACCAGTTAATGGAGTGATATGCCATCAGAGGTGGGAAGGAGGCACAATTTCAGGATGAAAAGTTGGGTTGAGATATGTTATTATAGAATCATGCAGTTGTTTGAGTTGGAAGGAACCTTGAAAACCATCTGGTTCCAACCCTTTGCTGTGGGCAAGAACACTTTGACTAGGTCAGGCTGCCCGGGGCCACATCCAACCCAGCCCTGAATGCCTCCAGGGTTGGGGGACCCACAGTTTCTCCAAGCAGCTGTGCCAGTGCCTCACCAATATTGCTCTGTTCTCCTGTGGACTTCCTAAGTCAGTCCTGTTCCATTACCAACCTTGATTTGTTGTTGCATAAAATACTTCAGTGGAAATACCCAATACTGAAGAAAATTCCATTTCATTGAAGTTTATCTTACCTGGTGAGAAGAGTTGTCTTTGAGGCTCAGTTCACTCAGTTCATGTACGTCCAGTGTCTCTAGGCTTCCCCAGGCGAAGTGCAGGCAGATGGCAATGTGGCTGAGGCACCTGTGCAGCTAAGTCAGTGGAGCTTTCCCTCACCTAAGCGCCCCATAATATCCCTATTTGTGGTACACTGGGCCTTGTAATTGTATGAAGCACAAAGAGCTTAAAGCTTCACCATCCTGATAGTGACAACATCCCCAAATCTTTCCTGTGTGCCCATGTGTGCCTGCTACCAAGCTTTGAGCACTGTCACTGACCTCAGTGGAAACCTGCAGTGTGTGTACAAAGGTAAGTGTATCCTTCAGGGAACGTTCCGGATTTGTGCTTAAAAGATGACTTTTTAAAAGAAAAGTAATTATCTGGATTGGCACGAAAAAAGGCTGGTTAAAAAAGAAAAAAAGATACAAAAAATCTGATGTTTAAACTTTGGCAAATGTTGCCTGTTTGCTGAAGGAGTTTCCCATGAGAAAATGGATCCTGCACTGACTTGTAATAACAAATAGAGATATTTGCAGTCCCCCAGATTTGAAATGTAAAATATAGTTGTTAAAGGAATTGAACTGTTTCTATTTTCTTCAGCTACTGTTAGACATGTAACAAATTTGAGTATATTTTTAACAAATCCTGATTTGAGGTAGGAAAAAAACTGGCAATACTTCAAGACTATCATCTTTTTTTAAAGTCTACAAAAATGGCAAAATGAGCTTCAAGGGATCAATGTAATGCACAGGTCAACCTGGGATCTCTAAAATATCAGAATTTTTTTTGTGCAAAGACTTGGAATTTTACCATGAAAATCCAAAATACGTAGCATGTTGAGCTGCTGCTTTACCAGGGTGGTTAAATAGGTCAGACAAGGGAAGAATTTTGTAATTAAATTTTCCGCTTTTGCAACAATTCTCATGTCCTTAAGGCCGTATATGTTGAGTTGAGAATAAGAGATTATAGATAAATGAATACTTAGAGATTGAACCATAACGTTTACATTTTCTCCCTTATCTGATATGAGGGTTTTGCAATTGCTGGATTGGTTAACTCTCTCTCATTCATGAACTCATATTTGACAGAGCAACAGGAATGTTGATCCATTGTTTCTTAGCATCACATGATGGGCTTGACTGAGCAAATCAGTTTGGAGTTGTGACATCCCATTCAATATATGGTTTTCGGTTTTTAGAAGAAATTTATTTCTGGGTACTTCTCTGAGAATGAACTGTTCCTAGTAATGTTAAGGGGATGGATCAAAGGATTGCGATGTTCTTGGTTTTTTGCTAGGTGGGTGCTTGTTGCACCACTGGAATCTTGTTCTCTCTCATATCTTTCTACATATCGTAGAGGGGTTCTTTTGATTAATTACTAGTATGAGGCCAGCCTGGGATTTTAATAAGATGAATGGAGTCATTTCTTTTCCTCCACTGAATAATATTTTGAGTCAGTTAATATTTGTACTTTTTCAGCCCAGATTTTTGTTCCTATGCATTTCAGTAAGCAAGAACAGCAACAACAGGAATAACCGAAACTGAATTTAAATTTGCAGTGATTGAAGTGGATGGCTGCAGTGTAATTCAGCTTATCTACCTTTAATCATTTACACACACCTATTTACCTGAGGCTGCCTTTATAGCCAGTGGGAAGAACTGTCCCCTGTCCATGGCTATTTCACTTCACTGACTTGAAATGTCAATCCAGGAGATTGTCCTACGTGCGTATGCCTGTATTTAATCAGATAAATAACTTTTATTTAGACAATGGACTCATTTCCAAACGGGCTGGTTGACTACTGGTACAATAAAAACAATTGACCTGTGAGATATTTTTCAACAAACAGTTTGACTCCTTCATACTTTTGATTAAGTTGTAGTGTGTTTTCAAGGAATTGGTAACGAAAGTAAATCAGTTGTTTGTAAAGCACTTTTTCTTGAGTAGGCAGTGGGTGATAAGCTATCTTACCTCATTTTCCATTAGGACAGTGCAGATTCTTCTACATCTGTTTGCCTTATATTTTGCCTTTTGTCATGTATGCTTTTTTTTGGAAGCAGAAGGTAAATGGGCAACACTTTCTGAAGCCTCTTTTAGATGTCTCTTGAGGCTACTCTTTAAAATCCCCCTTGATTCTGCAAGATACAGCTCTTCATGGAGTAGCAAAATCTGCAAGACAAGAGTGAAGCATGGCTGTTTCCAGTGACTGAAAGCTGCCTTGTGACTGTAGGAGGGTGTATCCAATCTGATTGAGCAAGTTCTTCGTGAATTTCCATTCTGAGATCCGTAGTTCTTATCCAATAAAATGCTGTCATAAAGACCACTTTTGAATGCCTCCCACAGGCTGGAGATGAGGTTTTGAAACAGAAGTCTATTTACATTAAAAATGTGTACTATAGCAGACCAAAAATAATAAGGCTTTATGTAATATTTGAGTTTTACATTGTTTTTCTTTACATTAAGTAATAGATTACTCCTAAAATAAGTAATAATATATTCTCAGAAATATAGTTGTATGAGTTTAGCTGGTTTGTCATTCAGCCCAGGTTGGAAATCAGCCTCGTGGAGGTAGCCAGGACAGAATCTTGAGCTGCTTGACCTCATCTGGGATTGTTTGGTGATGTTTAACCTTTGGCTGCTCGCTCCTTATGATGGATTTTGCCGCAGTGCTTTTGAAGGAAGGGGGAGGAAGAGAGCCCGACATGCAGTGTGAACTCTCATCATTTTGGCCTTAGTGGAGCTTTTTGGAGACTACTTTGCTGGCGTATTCTCTTTTAGGAACTGCTGGGTGGAGACTGCAAAGACTGTGTGGGATCTCATGATAGATGTGGGGTTCCCCTCCTTCAGTGATGAGGCAGAGATATCAGAAGAAAGAATGGTGAAGGCTCCCCATCAAGTCTATTAGTCCCCATTGATCCTGTATGTGCATTGATATTAAATGTTGTTCTGAGGATGGCAGTTTTCATAACATCAGCTTTGTATTCCTAAGTTTATCTCCACTCTTGGGTAGGTTTGGAGCTGAATGGAACGTTGTTCAATGTTTAGGGGGAGCCAACTCATCTTTTAGTTTTTCAGTTGGAGAAAATGCAAGTAGCTACTTCATCTGTTTTCCACAGAGCTGTACTACCGCACTCGTTCACTATCACTTGCAATGTGTAACTACACAGACATTTTCAACTTGTACTATTACTTTTTCAAGCAAATACTTCAGGAACTGTTCTTTTGCCCATTTTATAAAATGGTAAATGAACAACAGAATGATGTGTTAACATAATTCAAAATGCAAGGAGAGAGAAAATGAAATCCTTTTCTTGCGTGTGTATGAGAAATGAAATGGTTCCCTTGTAAGTATGACCATCCTTTCAGCTCAATACTTAGTGAGAGGGACAATACACTTAAGCTGGTTCTTTTGGCTTACATCTGTGGGAAGTTCCTTTATGGAGAATGAGAAGCTCTCGGCCTTGAAGCCAGCAGCTACATTTTTATAATTACCAAGAGTCATTAAGAGCTCTAAAAAGAGCAATATTTGTTTGATGAGATCCTAGACATAATGGGAATCATAGGTATGTAATAAGGTTGTCTGCTGGACTATGTCCTTTTCTCTCTTTCATGTTCTGAAATACTCTGTAGGGATGAAAGTAGGCACCTTGCTCAGAGAAGTGGTGGGAGAGGCCTTCAATAAAAATGTGCAATGCTTGTGAACTTTCTAGAAGGGGGGAAAAGCTGCTAAAAAGCCATGATCAAAACTTGCCAAAGTAGCAAGTGCTTGAGGGGAGCATACGTGGCAATGGTGAGGAGGATTGAGGTACAGTGTTAATAATGACAGTCCTAAAATACCAACCTGTGCAGCCATGCGGCAGCAGTCAGAAAGCTGGAAAACTTAAATGCATTTTTTTAGATTGTTTAAGACTGTAAGTATGTGATCATGTATTTAAATGTGTGTTCTAAAATTCTGGTAAGTGATAGCTAAACTCCAGGGTCTTACAAATAGGTTCCTATTAGGATGAATAGCTAATATGAGATCATATTTATTTTAATTATAATGCTTTTTTTTTTTTTTCTAGTATTGAAATGGGTCACCCCAAACATGATGTAGACAGCAATTAATGTTAATTGGCCTATAAGCACAGAAAATAAACCAGAGAGCTCTCAAAGCAGTCCACTGTCAAAAACTATCAACATAATATTTACTGGAGGGCTGAAAACACTTTAAAACTGAGGGAAGGAAAGGAAAGGCATTGTGAAATTACGTGCACTGACACTTGTGTTTCGAACAGTCTTGAATGTGACCTTGTGTTCCTCCAGCATGCCAGGCAATGGGGACTGGAATGATGCTGAGCTCCTGGGCCACCTCCTCCGTTGAAGAAGTCGCTGAAGCAGCTCCTGGAGGCCTTCGCTGGCTGCAGCTTTATGTGTACAAGGACCGAGAGGTTACCAAGTCCCTAGTGAAGCGTGCAGAGAGAGCAGGTTACAAAGGAATCTTTGTGACTGTGGACACACCGTTCCTCGGAAGGCGTATTGATGATGTGCGCAACAAGTTCCAGCTTCCTCCCCACCTCAGGTAGGTGCCTCCAATTGGGGTGTGGGGTGAACATGCTGCAATGCAGCCTGTCTTCCAGATGACACACACTGAGCTTATGTACATTGCTGTGGCTTAGGGGCAGAAGTATGCTATCTTGGTATTTTCATACCACGTAAAACTGTATGTCATGCTGCATGAGGCTGCAGACTGACAAAGTTAGTGATGAGGCATTTCTTTGTGTGTCTGGTAATTAATCTTTGGACACCTTCAAAACTCAAGTGGGCACAATCCTTTGCAATCTGCTCTGCCTTTGAAGCTGAATCCAGCTGCAGGGTTGACCATGTTCTGAGCAGGAAGCTGGACTAAGTGACCATCAAAGACTTCTCCCAATCAACGACACTGCAGTGCATCTGGGACCATCTCAGTACTGAATGCGGAGTCTCTTTCCAAGCAACTTCAACTGTCCTTTTAGTCAAGTTCAGAAATGGAGGGGATCAGCTTTCTTAAATATCACACAATCAATCCACCCCTACATTTCTTCTGGGACTTCTTCTGTATCTCAAGGAAAAGCTAAAGGTCTCTGCACTAATTCTGGTTTCTCATTATATCAGGGCCCATGCAGCATTTAACTTAAAACAGAGTTCTCCAGCAATGTTCTATGGGTGCTGATGCTGGCCTGATTTCACTGCATCCTGCAAACATGAATTAACATACTGTAAGGTCACCCTGAATAATGTTTGCTGAAGTGCTGGCACATTGTTAGCACCCAGTCCAGCTGGAACAGTAAAAGAATGAATGGGATACGCAGGATTTTTGAATTTGCAAAATGGAGCTAAGAATCCTCTGCTTACAAGAACCTGATATTGGCCACAGTTGGTCATGATATATATAGACTACTGCCCTTATTTAGAATCTGTAAATGAAATCAAAATGAAAACTAAAAAAGGAAAGAAAAAGTAAAAGATAGTTGAAAGTATCTTGAAGTGGATTAATTTTGGTTTGAGTTCTAGGTGAGAGCTAGTTTTGAATATTATTGATGAATCTGAAGTGTTCTTCCAGTGTCTCTCACAACTGTAATATGCTGCATACATACCGTACCTAGCATGAAATATAGCAAGAAATACAAAATATATTTTTTTTAAAATGTAGCAAGAAATATAAAGCCAAATCCTAAGTTCCTTCATTTTCATAATTTTTGTTTCAAAGATAAACCATGGGACTGTACCACCATGGGTTGTCAGGTACTCTGCCCCAATATGCCAGTACTTGAAGCTAATGGGTGAAGTGGTAAAGATAGGCAGAGTTAAGGGTTCTCTCAATGATTTCTGCATAAAAGGACCATCTTGTGAGGAAAGTACCAGAATACAAAGAATCCTAACAAACTTGGCATTAAAAAGTAATGCACTGATATGCATATGCTCCACCTATTAGTCTGCTATAGATCTTTTACTGACAAAGCATCATTGATTGTCTTTACTCCCAGGGAGAGTTGCTTTAAATAGCTTTTTTTTTTTTTTTTTTTTTTTTTAGGAGCAGTGTCATTTTAAGACCTGGGGTTATAGAGTTTCTGGATGAGAGTCAAATAACGCAAAATATTTGAGAAAAGCAATAGTGCATTTCTGACACACTTTGACCCCACTTGACCTAACAGTAACAGTTTTGTTTGAGTGAACCATATGGAATAATACGAAGTTGGAGCGATCTTTCAAGGTTCAAAATCCTTCAGATTTCAGAATGGCATTCAGTGTTTTGTTGCGGAGTCAGTGGTGAAACTTGGTAGTGTGGGGCTCTGCTCAGTTACTTGATAACTTTTTCTTGGCTTCAGATTTTCAACAGTTTCAAAGCAACAACAAGGTGCCATTGTGCTCCAAAATGTATGTAAGGCAACATTCATTCAAGTGTTGACCTGCATTTCACAGTCCAAGAAAAACAACGTTTATTTATATAATCTTATCCATGGTTCTGTTTTTCTCTGGGTACCCCACCCTCCACAAACCAACAGCTGAAAAGCTGGATCTTGCTGAGAGCCTGCTCCTTTCTCATTTTCTTCTTTGCTTGGAGTTGAACAGAAAACCCAAGTGAAATGTTGCTTGTTAAAGGCATGAAATCAGCAGTGAAACTAGCCAGTTTCCGTGCAAAAATACTGTGTGTTCCCAAGATGTGGAATATGAGTATAAAATAGCACAACGTGAATTGATGCGCGATCTCCAATGCATGGAGCAATCAACATAGTGTGGGACATCAGAGTCCTGGGTTGTACTGGTGTCACCAATGGTGATCTGGTGCTTGAGAGCACTTGGGCTGCTTCAGTTTCTAACATAAATGCAGCCTCACTTTCTCTGTATGCCCTCATTTTTCCCCCTCCCCTGTTTTGTCTACTAAGACTGAACTCTGGTTTAGGGGCTGGTGTTTGCCATTCAGTTCCCAGGTTGATTTGGTGATAATAAACAAATAATACCAAGTGTTTTCGTACAAACATTTTCCTCTACATTTTGTAGGCAAATGTACAAAAAAGATGAATTGTATACAAGAACTATTGCCTGGATGTTGGTCTTGTCAGTTAGATGAAAATTCTAGTTTCTTTGCAAGAGTTCATGCAGACCCATCTAATTTAACAGAGTTTTAAAAAATGTCCCTTTTCCTTTCCCATCTAGGTAGTCTCCTATTTACTCCAGTAGCTGAATTCACTAGGTGAAAAACGAAAGCAAAGAGAATACTTGTTGCAAGAAAGCCAAGGAGATTTTTGCCACAGATAGTGGATAGTAGAGGTGCACCTTTTAACTTCAGTGGGAAGTGAATTATATGTTATGAAAGACTGATATTCCCTCAGCACACACATCCTCTGCTCCTCAACGGTCTGGATGGCCTACAGCCTCTGCTGTGTTTATCCTCACAGTGCTCCAGAAAATGTGGTTGCTCCTATTTTATGATGGGAAACAGGCAAAGAGAGTGACCAAACGTTCAGCCCAAAGTCACAGAGGATGTCTGTGGCAGGATGAATGGTTGAACCTAAACCCTAAGTTTCATCTTTGGATTTTTCCTTTCGGTTGTAGATTTGATGCTGAACCTTTAGATTTTGGACTTTGTCTTATTTCCTTTGAAAGCATTAGGAGGGTTGCCTTGGGCCAGTGAAATTTGCAACAGAGTTATCAAATATTTCTCGAGGAGGAGGTTTTGACTTAAAAGAGTTCAGAAATAAAATACTGGGTAGGCTTTTTTACTTCTGCCCTGTATAATACAATGCACATTTAATGCAGACGTGTTGAGTGCTGACACTAAGGACTGATATTTTATGGCTCCAATAAATATTTCACAGACTATTTTATATGCTTTTTGTCATTTTAGGTTAAAAAATTTTTCAAGCAACAACTTGGTCTTCTCAGGGCAAGACTTTGGGGAAAACAGTGGACTGGCTGTCTACGTAGCCAACACAATTGATGCAAGTATCAGTTGGAAGGACATCAAATGGCTTCGTCGGCTGACATCACTGCCCATTGTTGTAAAAGGAATCCTAAGAGGTGTATAGCTCTACTGCTTTTCCATGGAGAGGGCAAGGCATCCATTTTTGCAGGGGCAATAGGGAAAAAGAAGTGCTTGTGCTGCTGAATTTTCTGTAGAATTGCACTACATTTCAATGGCAAGCATCTGTTTTGTTTACATTAAATATGACGGGTTATACATTCGTATTTGTATACTGTGCTAAGCAGGGAAGATTTGCCAAAGTAGATTGCAAAACAAAGGAAAAAGTTCTCTTCCTTGTGCATGATTAGGATGTGGAAGATCGCAGACATGACCAAATGTCCATTTGTTTTGGTTAGGATCAATGCAATATGAACTGGTGAGGGTGATTATTGTGCTGCCTTTGTGCATTAGCTTCTCCCTGTGGAAGGCAGTCTGAATCAGAGAAGCTCTTCTTCCAGCAGAAACTGAACATTATTATTTTCCTATCTGGGGAAAAATTGCAGAACGGGATTTTGTGTTTTGGCAGTCAGAGGTACGGGTGAAGGTTTTTGGCTTATAAAGCCTGGATGTACTTTTTACTGGCTTTGATGGAACTGCAGAGAATGCAGGAATGCACATGAGCCAAATAGCCAAGAAAGTGAAGACTCTGCTTTAATAAATACCTGGAGTTTTCAGGTGGTTTGTATGACCGGACTATAGAATGTGCTCACCTTGAAGTTCAGTAGGCAGGGATTGGAGTCCTGTAACCTGTATGCTTTGCCATGCCATGGTGTTTGCTGGGCTAAGCAGTGGTTGGTGCCCCTATTTCCTTGTCCTGTGCTGTGAGTTCTTCCTTAGCCCATAGTCTTATCTGGGAGATCTATGAAAAAGGACCATTTCACTTTGCTGCTGTCTATCTGTGAAAATGCAATTGTTTGAAGAGAAAAACAGCATGAGTGTTGGGCCCTTAGATTCTGCATAAATGAAAAAAATATTAACACAAAAGCAAAACTCAAAAGAAACCAAAAGAACCAACAACCCAACCAACACTTGAAATTTTCAGGTTGAGTTGTTGGTGTAACAATAGCTATGTCTAAATTCAGATGCAGTCAGGAAGGACAGCTCATTGTGCTTGTAAACCCTAAATCTATTCTAAGTTGCGTTCTCCTTGAAGGAAAGCTGGATTTCCATTCCGTTAAATGAACACCGACACAGCAGTGTTTTCATTAGCTGTGGTTTATTACCATAATCTTATTGTTAACTGGCATTGAGGGGAAGAAAAAAATCAGCAGAAGAATTTAGTGAAGTTGCAGGATAGAGGGGGGAGAATAGGGGTGGAAAGGCTAGCCATGCAAGTTGCTGTTAGTCCAAAGCGATAAAATGTTCTGTTCCAACATTTCAAGTGACCTTCCTATCTGTACTGCTTCAAGATAGAACTGTTGATTTGTGATGAGATGAGCCTATGGAAGGACGAAGCCCTAAATGGCTTCCCAGCATCTTTCACTGTTTTGTTTTGCTTTTTTTGTTTTGTTTTGCTTTTTTTGTTTTGTTTTGCTTTTTTTGTTTTGTTTTGCTTTTTTTGTTTTGTTTTGCTTTTTTTGTTTTGTTTTGCTTTTTTTGTTTTGTTTTGCTTTTTTTTTTACTGATGTCATAATTTCCCTCATCATGATGTTCAACATCCCAGTTCTGGAAAGAATATTTTTTTAATATATTTTCAGCTGATGATGCTAAAGAAGCTGTGCAGCTTGGGGTAGATGGTATACTGGTGTCAAATCATGGAGCACGTCAGCTTGATGGAGTTCCTGCAACGGTAAGTAGTGGTGCCAATAAGTACCAAGTTCTTTCTGCCTTTGGCTTCTTGCTTCCTTCCACTGAATACATGGTAGCTAGAGGGAAAACCTGTAAATACATGTTGTGTGCCTTAATGCACACAACATGAAGTAATCTCTTACTACAGTTGTTTTCATTTTCAGTGCTCTCCAGAGACTTCTGAAAAACTGGAGTTACAGAGTAACTAAAGGCAGAAGGACATTCTCCCCTTTTCTGCTTTCAAATCTTTCCAGTTTTGGAAAAGGTTCAGGGTGATTAAACTAGAATTTTTTCCTTTTCCTTGTCATGCTGCCCTGTGCCTTTCCAAAGGTAAAAAGGGATTTGAGAAATTCTCAACTGGTAGGGGAAAGAAGGAAAGGAAAATGAAAAAGTATGTGTTCAGACTGAAGTAAAACCCCACAGACTTGAGTCATCGCTCACCCTTCTTCATTTGGAATGATAAAACTGCATAAGTAAAAAGAGCAGAAGGGAGAAGAATCAAAGCCCGGTCATGACTGTTTCAATATCCTTAATGCACTGTTGTTGGAAAACCTCTGGTTCTCCATGAGAATTTTCTGAACAGAGGAGACAGGTAAGCCCTTTTCCACTGCAGGGTATTTTGCATGCAAAGATTTAGCAACTCAGTTCAATCTACAGTCAGCTTGGCAGGCCCACTGCTGTGTCACCCCTTCCTCTAGAGCTCTTCTGCTCACTGAGTCTTGGGGACAACTGAGGGTTTCCCCGGTCAATTGAATTCACTTGCTGATTTTTTTGAAAGTCTTCAAGTGGACCCACTGGTTCTTTTTATGGAGTGTGGGTGCCAAAACGTCAGAAATCAATTTTCTTAAACTTCTGTTCTCTTCTTGTTCTCTGCAGAGAATGTATGCTTCAGTTTCACCAAGAGTATTGGAAAATCTTGTGCAAATCTGTGTGAGGTAACACAGCAGGAAAAATATGAGGATATTAAAAACAACAACAACAAAAAAAAAACAGCAACAACCAAAAAAAATTTTGAAAAATGAGAGCTCAAAAACTAGCAATTATTATTTTCTACAGAAGCAGAACTGAAATTAAGCTTGTGAACTACTTTTTTTGAGTTTCTTCTTTACAATGTCATTGTGTAGAGAAGATGATGCTATCAAAGCCAGTGTATTCACTGAATTTCACCTTACAGAGAAAAGTGTATTTCAAAATGCAGTTTCCATGAGAATATCTGTATTGAATCATTCAGAGTTTCTGTTTTTGAAGTATAATTTCATGGCTTTTCAGAACATGAAATGGTTAATAGTTACACATTGAGGAAATCTATGTTTTAATTACGGTTTGCATCATATTTTAGTTATTATAGACTTTAATGTTGATACAGTTTGTCAGGATGTAGAAAGTAGTTTCTGTGTATGGAAATAAATCCAATATATGTTTGGCAAGAGAGCAAAACCAGAGGGAGGGGAAAAATCACAGCCACTGCCAAACTTCAAGAAAATTTTAATCCAAATCTAAAAACAAACTGCGCTTTCAAGTTTTTTCCCCAATCTCCTAGTCACTTTTTATCCATTAGAAAGGAAATGAATTGCATCCGTGTTTGAAAGACATGAATTGGTGTGCCTTTTATTTTACTACTGCACACTCCTTAGTACTTGGCTTCTCGTCTTGTGTCTTTCCTGATATTCATGAATAGGAACTGTATGCATGTTGTAGGAACAGCTGCTATGTAATTAATGCTTGAGCATCGAATTCAAGAGGCTCATCTCTTCTTGAAACTTCTTGCACAGTGTTGACATTTTAGCTAATTCCGTAGTTACTTTCCTGTACCTTAGGAACATCCATTTGTCTTTGCTTTTACCACTTGTGCAGGGAGTAAGTGCAAATCAGTGAGAGAAGTAAATGAGTTCAGAAGAAAATGTTTCTCTCCTTGTTCAAAACTCAGAGCAAGTTGAATTTTTCTTTAGGTAAATAAGTTCCCTGTACAACTATTCCTGAGATCAAGATGTGTTTTCAAATTAAAAAAAAAAAAATTATTTTTCTGACAGATCTCTTACTCATTATCTTCAGACACAATGCCTACCTTTGTGTTCCTTAATGCCAGCCAGTGCCTTTTATTAATGAATAGTGAATTTAAGCAAGAAAATGAAGATGGCTGTTTAAGAAGTCAGTGACTGATTTCCTAAGTGATTTAATTCCTAAATTACTGAACACTGAATGTTAGGGGAATTATATGAAGGAATAGGGTCTCCTTCGTGTCTGCTATTTCTTATATTCTTCCTAATAGCTTGTACAGGCCTGTGTTGGATGCACGTCATGAGATTAGATGGACATTTTATGTGACCCTGCTGATTCTCATTTTAAGTGGCTGTCCAAATAAATTTGACCTGTGTATATATCTGCTAACATCCCAGGACACACAAAGCTGTATTTATGCACACGATCAGGCAACTAATTGCTCACTTAGCTTTTTTGAAGCTTGAATCCTGTACTTAATTTATTCAGAAGATAAATAGGGTTACAGAAACTGTATTTCTGATTTTACTCTTCTAGATTGATATCTTGCCTGAAATTGTTGAGGCTGTGGAGGGGAAGGTGGAGGTGTTCCTAGATGGTGGCGTAAGAAAAGGCACAGACGTACTCAAAGCATTAGCTCTGGGTGCCAAAGCTGTATTCATCGGCAGGCCTCTCATCTGGGGCTTGGCTTATCAAGTAAGTAAAAGAATAAAATCTGAAAAATATGCTCATAGATGCCTATATTAGCTTTTACGCTTTGTGTATTCACATGTATGTGAATCTCTTACGTGTGTATCCAGATCATACAATAATCTAAAATTTGCTATCAAATACTTAGGAGTCAGAGTTGTCCATGAAACTTTCCTGATATGTATTTATAGCTTGTCTATAGACACAAATACACATAACAATGCATGCTGCATCCTAATTGCTTAGGGTGAAGAAGGAGCAAAAGAAGTTCTCCACATGTTGAAGGAAGAGTTTCGACTGGCAATGGCACTGACAGGTGAGACATCAGTGTTTCCTCTTAGTAATAACCACCTCTCCCTCACATTTTGTCATAGCTCTCATTTCCCCTGTGCAAGGCACCATAGTAACTTATAGAAGAAATAAATATTTGCAATATAAGCAGGTTAAGCTGCAGAGAGATGAAAAAAGAAACTGATGTTAACCCTAACTTTATATATAGGATATCTATATATGTAGACAGAAAGAGTAAGTAAAAATGAAAAATATTTTGGGTTAGAAGAGCCATAGGTCTATAGAAAAGTGATGGCAAATCCTCAGTCACTAAGGGGTGGATTAGATCTGATTGAACATAGCTTTCTATGGAAAAGAAAATGAAGCAGCTTAGCATGGGGTTTGGCATGAGGCAATTGGAAATTTCGACTGATATTCCTTGGCCACCATTCCCAAATTTCAACTGATATTTGTTGGATATGAGGAAAATGTCTTCTACATTGAAGCATTGAAGGTGGTGTGGTACTGGAACAGGCTGCCTAAAGATGTGGTGGAAGCTCCATCCCTGGTAGCATTTTAGGCCAGGCTGGATGATGCTCTGAGCAACCAATGGTGCTGTGCAAGTCCCTGTTTGTTGCAAGGCAGTTGGAACAGAAGATGTTTAAAGGTCCCCAATTCTATGATTCTTTGTAACTTGCTCTCTAGGATGCCGGACTGTAAAAGAGATTGGCAGGACATTGATACGAAGGCATGAAGTACTACTTTCCAAGATTTAGATCTGAAGATGATCCCCTCGCTTGCTGCCTGTTGTACAGAAAGCACACTAGATAAAAAACAACGCTATTTGCTCTTTGGGTCTCATGCTGCAATTCTGACTGAAAAGGAGTCTTCTGTAAGCAACTGCTTGTTGAAGAAGTTATTTGCTTCAAGTTTTAAAGCCTATTCTGCTAGGCTTTTATGGAAAGCTGCTGTGCTGTTAGTTGTGATTAGAGATGAGTCTTTATACAAGACCAAGATAGAAACTTGAAGGTGTTTTGCAATAAATGCTGATATTAGCTTTCAAACCTTTTTAGTACTAAAACCATAAAACCATAAAAGAACACGTTCTGATGGCAAACAGCTATCAAAATGTAAAAAATTAAAATGTAGAAGGTACTTTTCTCACTGGTTAGAGAAACTACAGTGTAGATCAGAAATTAAATCTTGCTCTATTATGAATATAATTTCTTCTCCCTAATAGTGATGTGCTATTCCTTAATAAGTATGTGGACTTACATCATGTAGGCTGTAGAAACTCAGAGTTCTTAGTTATAAAGAACTGCACAGCAAAGTGAAATTGGAGAAGTGACTCAAAGCCCTTTGCAATCAGACAACCACTGTGCTTGTGAATCAGACACACATCAGATCTTTGGCTTGTGTGAATCCTGGTAGGTCTATTGCCTTCACCAGTATACCCAGCTGGATCCCTACGTTATGTTTTTAAACTGGACTCAATTCTTTACAGTTTTTTAGACTATTGGATAAATCTGTAGCATCTTGCATCAGCATTGCAGAAAGGTTTTGAAAATCTTGTTCTGGAATTATTTTTTTTTAAGCCACCATTACACTGTTCCACTGTCACTGATATCACTGTCTGTACCATTTGTTTCTCATCAATGTCAGGAGAACTTGTGCATTCTGATTCTCCCTTTTTGCTTTATTTGAAATATCATGTATTGAGTTTTAGAGGCAGTTTTGTCATAAATGATGGAATAGTACAATATGAACTAAAGCAGAGGCTGGAACTCAAAACGGGGAGAAAACCCAAAAGGCCACATGCTTGCCCTTCAGTTGTAAAATTTGTTCTCTTATTTACTGCAGATTGTAGTGTGTTGTGTAGGGGTTGCATAGCAACAAAATAAAGTTTATCTGTGTAAGGAAATATGAATGTTTCTCAGAGCATAGAGAAGCATAATTTCTGCTGTTTACTGCACTTATCATATCTGTTGCAATGTGGACTGTGTCAGATGTCAATTACAGACTAACTTCAGAAAGACTGTTTATTTCAGATAATATAAATGTTACTTAAAAGATAGGGGATAATATCTTATGTTTACATGTTTAAGATCCATTTCTAAAGTTTAGAAGATGCAGTTTCCTGTCTTAGCCCCAACCAAATTCAAGTAAAGTTCTGTAACTCTGTGGTCCAGGGTAAATTCTGCTGGTGAGGAAACTGATTTTGTTATTTGTGCAAAATTAACTATTTCTAGTTCCTTTGGGCAAATGGGCTTGTATTCGTTCTTTCCTGCTTGTTATCTGAGAATTGCCTGTCTTCCTTTTCAATCCTAGTAAGAATATACATGCATTAAAAAACAAAAACAGAGTCAAGTACTGAAAGGCTGTGAGACAGAGTTGACAGAAATTAAATTCGTTTCTGTTTAAAAGAAGAAGTATATATATTTCACAGTCAAGGGAATTTTACTAGATTTGGAGACAACTAAATACAATTGCTTCTTGAAATGCTAATGAAACTTTTTTGTGTGTTTTAATTATTTGTCATAGAACTGGGGGAAGATCAACGAGACTCAGCCATTCCGAACAATGCTCAATCTAAGTAAAACTTTAGCTCATGGTACCTTCACATACAGCTGAGAAGGAAGCACCCCATGCATAACATAGTAGTGGTGGATCTTTCTGGAGGTTGAGAATGTTTTTGGGGATAATTTATGCAATATAACTAAAGAAAATAATAAGCCTATAGGAGGCAGAGAAGTAGAACAGAACAGTTTGTACATTTTGCATTTGTGATGCTCTAGTATGTCTTCCTATCTCTGTGTCAAATAATGAACACACTATCTTGTTTAACTGTAACATTATTTTCTGACTTTACCTTTGCTCTAAGCCATAGATACCAAAAGAAAATGTCTTCATAGAAAAATATGTGGTAAGGGAAGTACACTGAGTCATATTTATCTACCCAGGAAGCCAGCAGTCAACTGATGTGCTGGGTGACTGAAAAAAATCAACCCACCTGATAGGCTGGTAACTGAACATTATCTGAATGGGGTTTTCTAACTGCTTTTCAAGTAGACCGAAATATTCTGTGGAAAAAATAGGACTGCAACTCTTAGTGGATTTCTCCACTATTTTGTGAAGAGAGAAGATCCAAAAGCAACACCTGAGAGTGTACAAGATGAGGATCCTGGACTTTTGAGAAAAAAGTGGTATCTCAAAAGAGCCAAAGATGTGAGGCAGGTTTTTATATACTGTGTAGAGGTTTGTTGTTTTTTTTTTTTTCTTCCCCATATACAGCCTGTCTGGATTTCTCTGGTGCTGTCAGTTTGAAATATTTTCTGAAAATATCACCATAAAGTTATCTTCTTGGCCTCTGTAAGCCCATAGAGGATTAAAACCCACTAAAGAGAGTACAGAAGAGCACAGCTCTCTAGCAAGGCTATGTAAATACATGTGTGAAGCAGAGAGGCTTCAGCTCTGGTGCGGACTCCCAGAGACTCATTCCTAGCAACAAGCGCTATCAAAGACAGTCTGTGTCGAAGTGGCAGGGTCAGTGAAACAGTCTGTGACACTGTCTGAACATCTGGTAGAGCGTATCAAAGCCAGACATGCAAGGAGCAGGGCCTTCCTAAGAGAGGAAAAAAAGACAGCATGTTTCTGCAGAAGATCTTGAGTTGCAACAAGCAGGTGGGTGTGTATTTGGAGGAAAGATTCGGCTGTATCAGGAATATATTTGCTGTGAGAGATGGGCAGTTAAGTACAGCAGAGGAGAGTGCTGAAGCATAAGGAGTACAGGACTGAGGCATAAGATGGCAGCAGTCAGCTGAGGATTGTGAGACCGTCTCACTTTTCAGATGTAAAGAGAAGGAGATTAGAGTAGCTTTGGGATAGGTTTTACATCCTCGCTTAGCCTGTCAGTTCTTTGAAGTAGAGACCTGCTGCTTTTTGAACATTCAGAGCCTGCGCACAGGGTGGGGAATCCACTAAGTAAATAATAGGAGTCATAATTCAGTTCACTTGAGCTGAAGAGCTGTGAAAGACATGATCTGTTTTCTTGTGACCTCCGCCTCTTGCTGTAACTCTGGGACACATTATTGTATTTTGCTTTTTACCCATGGCCAAGTCAAACAAATAGCTCTGCGACTGGTAAGAACTCCACCTCCATCCCCAATTTTTCAGGTGAAGGATGAAACTTGTCTGTCTTACTGAGAATTTCTGAACATAAATAAACATACTCAGAGTAACTTGATTTGATAAACGGGCAGTGTAGGTCAGGGCCTGTTGGATATGTAGGTGACACAAAGATGAAGCAGAACTGGGGAAGTAGGCAGGAATGGCTCTGCTTTTCTTGGCTTCTCAAATGGTTTTCAGGCTGAAATCAAATACTGAGAGCACGAGGAAAGCTGGCTTCTTAAGTCATGATTTTGCACTGAACCTCACTGTAAGGATATCTCTTATAAAGCTACTTTTGATGTGGAAATTTGGCTCCAAACCACACTGAAGACCATTATAAATAACCACTTCATCACAGGACACACAGAAGTTGGCTTCCTTGAACACTCCTAGAAAGCAAGTCTAATATTATTGAGCCATAACCTCAGCTAGTGTAAATCAGAGAAGCTCTATTGACTTCATTAGCTCACACTGATTTACACCAGCTGTGAATGTGGCCTCACAATATAGGAAGATATGTCAGCTTTTAAATTCTATCACTGAGTGTTGAAGAAAACTGTTTTTAAAACAAGACTGCCAATCCCAAATTTGGATACTAATGAGACACGGTACTGTAATTGTTTCATGATGCCTGTATGCTCCATTTTGTTTTAATTTTGCATTGCTTCTGTTTTTCTTATCTCTTGCCAAACAGAGGGAGAGTATCACATATGTTACATTCATAAGAAAGATGTTTTGCTGCTTTGAGAACATGTCCTCCAGATGCAAAATGCCTTTTTTTGTTGTCATTCAGCTTCTTCCTTTGCATAGGTTTCTTGTTTATGTGCCAATATTAGACTGCTCTAGAGAGTCAGCCTCATGCTTCTCCAGGGCCCTGGAGTTCTTGAAGGGGCACCAAGAGGCTGTCCCAGCCAAACCTCAAAGATCTGATTTCCTCATAGTGGTTTTCAGCTCCGAAATCATTATTGCAGATGAGCAGTGGGAACTGTGCCTAGGAGCACCCTGATAGGAATGACCCTGAGACCATCAATACATTTCTGTAACATTTCTGTTGGGTGTTCATGGGGTTAACTTTAGTAAGTAATCCATTGTACTTGCACCTTTATGGTATGCAAGGCTGGTAGATACATACAGATGGTTTGTTCAGGAAAGGGGAAAATAAATAGTCTTGACAATGATTAATATTTGTTATTTCATTACAACAGCAGCTGTAAGTTCTAGTCAAAGTCAAGATCTCACTGTACAATGCAAAGATGCTTCTATGCCATCAGCAGTCTCTGCACAACACAGTCTGAAGTGTGAATTAACAGATACAGAAAAAGAATGTTTTTATTTCTATTATATAAAGAGACTAACCAGTTTCACCAGCACTCGGTCACAGGCTGGAATGAAGTTCCTTTAATGTCATTTTCACCACCTTAATTATAAACCTTGCTTTTCTCCCTAAGGCAGATGGCTCTGAGGTGAACATTACATAGTGCAAATACCCAGCATCTTTGGCAAAGGTCCAAAGATGCACTCTGGAACAGTGAGTAGACATGGGTCACAGAAGAGCTCTTAACCTCTGTACTTTTCACTGTGAGAGGAGGGCTCCTGATGCACCTGGGACCATATCTAATACTCTGCCAGTTAGCCAGACAAACTCTGGCTGTGGTGGCTTTGCAGGAGACTTAATATTTCTTCCTTGTTATCTGTAAATCAATCAAACACTGTGATTTTCTTGGATTCTCCCCAGGCCCTTCAGTATGCTAACACCTTTAGTTCTGTGTACTTACCTTGAAGTTTCCTGTTAGGAAGAATAGTAATGGATATAAAACACATTTTGCTCATTACAAGAGTTCCACAGACAAGGTATTTATGGTTAAGCTAATTTTACATGAGATTTGTCCAGTTTTCAAGATTGGCCATTAATTCTACAAAGAGAGATGCAAGAATCCTACAATAAGCCAATGTGGTAGAAAGTTAACTTTTCTACGAATTCAGGATACGTGTACTTTTCTATTTGGTGAGGCTAGCAAATGAATTCAGCATGTATTTTTACTGGACCCAGAATTCTGCCATGGATATGAGATAATTTTCATAACAGGTAAGATGTGAATGATGTCTATGAATGGGAATGTGATCAGCAGCAGCATCTCACATACCCAAGCTCTCCTCAGAGTCTGTAGTTAGTTAGTGCTGACTCTAGAGCTATACACCTACAGCCATCAGATGATTAAGAGTAACAAAAAATATTGAATTTGGTATAGTCAAAACCTTTCGACAAGCATACATTTTTTTGTCCAGAATCCTGCAAAAATTTTTTTTTTGCATGCCCTTCATACAAGAAGCTCCACTCTGTAGAAAGAGTTACAAGCAAAGAAGTCTATATTGCAAAAAGAGAACTTGGTTACAGTTTTAAAATGACACAAATATTATCTGGTAATAAAGACATCTGCAAATAAAGAATGGCAGTAACTTACCTCATTTTCTTCTTGCCTGATGACTATAGCTTTTTCAGTGGTTGCAAGTTCAGGGGTTTCAGCTCTGCCTTGTGACCTTACATCTCATTGTGTCCTGCCTAGTGCTGCCATGTCAGCCTTTGCTGCAGCATCCTTGGTTTTGACCTTGCAAGGAAGAAGTAATAAAAGAGATGCTTAGGATCTTTGGGTAGAGTCTTTGCCACTTGCATATATTTCCAAATGAAGTGTGGATGTGTGTGGGTATTGGTGGATGGCATTTGCCCAGAAGATAAGAGATCTGCGTAGATGGGAATTTGGCATGAGCTATAGGTTGCATATGGTGCTTTAATACTTTGCGTAAGTAAATGAAGCACATCTTGGCAAAGAATCCCAGATGCTGGTTCCCAGGCTACGTACAACCTAAAGATGTTAAGCAGGAAGCCAGCAAAGACCTTGAAGTACTGTTGCCTACATCATGTTATAAGTCAGTAATATTGTCCAGGGGCCAGGGGAGATGGAGACTGCTCTTCTGGAAGTTTTGCTGCAAGGGTTATGCATTTGGGTAAATAAAGAAGCCTGCTATCATTTATTCCAATTAATTTGGACGCTGATTCCATCTTTGTCTAAAATGTTTAGGACCAAATCTTGAACTAGTGTAGCTTTGATGCAGTTTGCAGAGTTGTTCTGATCTCTGTCAGCTGAGAATCTGAACCTACAGGTGTCTCTTTCCCTGTCCTCCAAAGAAGCATCAGTTTTCATTGATTTAATTAAAAGTTTGTTACAAATTTCTTTAGGTCCATAATAACTGAATCAGATACTTGAAGTTACCATACAAGGTGATTGATTGTCACCTTTTATCAGGAATTATGAGACAGCTGGAGGAAAGTAGCAAGTTCTGTGCT